GGCAAATTAGTATTTTGACCACATCATCCTCTTTATGCATGTTGTCTTACTCCAAGCTGTATAGGCCCGAAAGCCTACTACCAATTAAGCATATTAGGTGATGTGCATCTCTGTAATGAGAAGGGGTGTGGTCTAATGACATCAACACCCTATATCAGGTGTGCATAATTATTAGGCAACTTCCTTTCCTTTGGCAAAATGGGTCAAAAGAAGGACTTGACAGGCTCAGAAAAGTCAAAAATAGTGAGATATCTTGCAAAGGGATGCAGCACTCTTAAAATTGCAAAGCTTCTGAAGCGTGATCATCGAACAATCAAGTGTTTCATTCAAAATAGTCAACAGGGTCGCAAGAAGCGTGTGGAAAAACCAAGGCGAAAAATAACTGCCCATGAACTGAGAAAAGTCAAGCGTGCAGCTGCCACGATGCCACTTGCCACCAGTTTGGCCATATTTCAGAGCTGCAACATCACTGGAGTGCCCAAAGCACAAGGTGTGCAATACTCAGAGACATGGCCAAGGTAAGAAAGGCTGAAAGACGACCACCACTGAACAAGACACACAAGCTGAAACGTCAAGACTGGGCCAAGAAATATCTCAAGACTGATTTTCTAAGGTTTTATGGACTGATGAAATGAGAGTGAGTCTTGATGGGCCAGATGGATGGGCCCGTGGCTGGATTGGTAAAGGGCAGAGAGCTCCAGTCCCACTCAGACGCCAGCAAGGTGGAGGTGGAGTACTGGTTTGGGCTGGTATCATCAAAGATGAGCTTGTGGGGCCTCTTCGGGTTGAGGATGGAGTCAAGCTCAACTCCCAGTCCTACTGCCAGTTCCTGGAAGACACCTTCTTCAAGCAGTGGTACAGGAAGAAGTCTGCATCCTTCAAGAAAACATGATTTTCATGCAGGACAATGCTCCATCACACGCGTCCAAGTACTCCACAGCCTGGCTGGCAAGAAAGGGTATAAAAGAAGAAAATCTAATGACATGGCCTCCTTGTTCACCTGATCTGAACCCCATTGAGAACCTGTGGTCCATCATCAAATGTGAGATTTACAAGGAGGGAAAACAGTATACCTCTCTGAACAGTGTCTGGGAGGCTGTGGTTGCTGCTGCACTCAATGTTGATGGTGAACAGATCAAAACACTGACAGAATCCATGGATGGCAGGCTTTTGAGTGTCCTTGCAAAGAAAGGTGGCTATATTGGCCACTGATTTGTTTTTGTTTTGTTTTTGAATGTCAGAAATGTATATTTGTGAATGTTGAGATGTTATATTGGTTTAACTGGTAATAATAAATAATTGAAATGGGTATATATTTGTTTTTTGTTAAGTTGCCTAATAATTATGCACAGCAATAGTCACCTGCACACACAGATATCCCCCTAACATAGCTAAAACTAAAAACAAACTAAAAACTACTTCCAAAAATATTCAGCTTTGATATTAATTAGTTTTTTGAGTTCATTGAGAACATGGTTGTTGTTCAATAATAAAATTAATCCTCAAAATGCGAAATCTCGCCTTAATACCCTGCACCCTGTATATATATATAGGAGCATGTGCTATATATATAAGTATATATATATATATATATATATATATATATATATAAGGCCACACACACACACACACACACACACACACACACACATACATAAGTATTGCTATTGTTATACACATACATATATATATATATATACACATATATACACATATATACATATATATACACATACATATATATATATATATATACATACACATATATACATATACACACATATATATATATATACACACACATATACATATATACACATATACATATATACATATATACACACATATATATACATACATACATACATATACATACATATACATACATATATACATATATACACACATATATATACATATATACACACATACATATACATATATATATATACACACATACATATACATATATATACATAAACATATATACATATATATATACACACACACACAACCACATATATATATATATATATACATATATAATAAAACAATGGGTGATTGAATAAGCCAGTAATGTTACTGTCGAGAGTGGGCAGATTCTGAGGGCAAATTTGCAGAGTCTGGATTCTCAGGATGAATAGGCATTTGGGCACATTCTCATGAATTAAAGTTGAAAGACTAGCTTCTGAGGGTGATGAGTTGAATGAGCAGAATTTAGGGTCCTAATAAATGGGTCAATTCTCAGGGAGAATGGAGCCATTCTACAGACCTTGGGGTTGAATTGTCAGATTTGAAGGCTTGTATTTTCTAGTATTCTAGATCCTTCCTCTTGTGCACCAGATGCATCAGAACAGAAGAGGTGCAAGAACACTTTAAAATACAAGCTTTAAGCAAGTCTATGAGTGTTTACTCCCTTCTATTGCTTTGGGACATTAAAATGCTCTATATGTAACCAATACATATGTTGCTCTGAAGTAAGGTTTTTAGCTAGAATAATTTTAGCAGGAAAAACATTTTACAGAGAATATCTGTATACTTGGTCCATTGCATTAAGTATATTTTGCAATTCATGTCTTTATTTATTTTAGATTTAGTTCACGTTTATGTGTGTAGTACAGAGCAGCAAATATTTGACCATACATTTTAGCGCTATGAACTACTCCAGCAGCTAAAGATTTTGGCACGCAATCTAAACCTACTCACACACATGACTTCAGAGACTATAGTTAATAAAATGTGTTAGCACAATAAAAGCAATAGGCACACTAACAACTACGGATTCTGCTTTCTGGCATGTTGTGCGGCACAATAAATGGTTAAATGAAGAAAACGTGTAAATGCTTACTTCCATGGTAATGCACCGAAGCAATGCCTTTTAAATGGAGACAGATAGTCTCTGTTAGAGAAGTAAGCAGAAAAGCATCAATGTGCTCAAAGAGCCTAATGAAAAGAACATGGCTACATAATGGACATTCAAGGTAACTAGAACAGGGATATAATGGAATAGAATGTGAATACCTGCCACTCTTTACTGTGGACTAACTGTATTAACAGATAAATAATGCAAACCAAAGATTTTAAGGTAATTTTATACGGAAACAGACTGTTAGAAATCAAAGATCAGTATTTTTTTCATTTTCATAATGCCATGATATAAACATTGACAGAAGACCCTGAAGACCACATGTTTTCTTTTTCCTTTTTAAAACCCTCCTCCCATAAAATCTCAGTTTCATCCTCTTTATAACTATGTACATAAATCAATAGAAATTACTTATTTAAAATAGTACAATAAAAAAAATTACGTAACTGTTCATTTGGTAAACATTATGTTTGGTCATAAAAAGCAAGCATTTTGGCATACATTTCACAATAGGATATATATTAGGCAATCTCTGAGGTTTGGGACTTGGGCAAAGTCGTGTTTTCAGGGGTAGTCCAGACAAGGCAATCAGACACGGTCAATAGCTTTACAGGAGCAGAACGACCTCTATTTGTAATTTTTCCTACTCCAGGGCAGCTGTTGTCAAAGGCGTAGGACCTGCTCTTTACTATAGACTGCTGAGTGTTTGGTTCATGCCTTGTTTCAAACGATACAAACTGGTGAGGCTGGACCATCTGCCTATAAGTTGTGTTTTCAGTGTGCAAGGCTGATGAAAGCCTACGAAACCTGGGGACAAGTAGTTGAGGAAATTTCATCTCCGACCTTTCATTCACTCCCCAGAAATCAGTTCGATAAGTGCTGACCAGTGGCCTTTGCCTATTCTGTTCTTCTAGCGAAGTCCAGTAGATGGAACTGCTCGACTCTCCTGGTTTGCAAACCTTCTTCTTTCCCATTCCCTTAATGAAGAAACATTGTCATTATAGGAGTATTTAACATATTTTCTGTTTGCAGTAAATCAACCACCCATGTGTGTCAATATATTCTTTGTTAAACAAGAATGTCATCATTATAGTAATTATCAGCTCTGCTTGTAACTTGTTTCCATTGAACGACAATTCCTTATCTCCACAAACCTAATTATTTCCAGGGCTAAATCACACATGGCATATGTTTTTTTAAGCATATTTACTTTACCCAAACCTTGTATTTTCAATTCACTGTCAATAATAGAGTTTTTTTTACAAATCAATTGCAGTTTTTCACATGCACTTCATAGCAGTGAGGATTGAATAATTACGGACAATATAAAAGTAATTGGAACTTACGTCAAGTATCTGTATGGATATTTATGAATAGGCACACACATTCTATCGCTGAAATAAAATAATAAGACTTTTCTATACCTTGGTGAAAAGAGGATTTTCAAGTATTAATATAGGCACCAACCCTATTTTTTAAAAATAGATCAAAAGTATCTGATATCTGAACTCCATTAACTGTCTTTTGCTTATAAAAGGAGTTGTTGAGAAATATAGCAGGAAATATACAGCAGTATAATTACATATTCTTTCATGCATGCACAGTGATGTAACTAGAGGGCCCCTTACGTGCAAATATTTTTGGTCTCCCAAGAATACTTTAAAGACAGTCTGAGTGTAGTGGTAATGGTGCAAAGAGTCTATGGCTGCTGTCACAATGTTATTTGTCAAATATTTTAGGAGCAGTTTGGCATAAAAACTACAGCTCTCCTAATCAGCCATATCAGTCCCCTTTCGCGGCATCGATAATGCGGAGGCAACAATTCAATTGAGCATTCCTTCCATAGTGCAGTATGCATAGAGCCACGAGTGTGTACAGAAGCAATATGGTTAAATTAATTTACTTTGTATGATTGCTATGCTTCATGAATCAGATATACAAAGTAAAAAAACATTTTAAAAAAAGTTTCAGGATTTCAAAACAAAACAAAAAACACAACCCATGTCATATAATGCTAGCAGTTATGACAATTTTGCTTTAGATCAGTCCGTTAAGGTAATCGGACATTCATTTGTAGTAGTCGGATCTCAATTTAAGTAAAAAAACATCTTTAATAAAAATCATTAGCGGCTATTGTTTTGGGGGTTTTTTTGCTGCAAATTGTAAAAGACGTAAAAGATGGCTCAAGGTTTTAAAAACACACTTTGATCATTTTCTCGGCAGAATTAAAAGGCCTGATTTTCTATTCAAGCGGCAAATCTCATTAGACTAAACAAGGGGCTATTTTTAAATATTCTACGCACAGATTTTGTAAGATTTTCTTGTAAAGGAAGAGCGGGCATATTGTGTTCATTGTAGTCAAAACCCTTTTATCCTGGTTGCTGAGGATAAAGACTCCATGTTTAAAAGTATGCATGAGCAATTAATCAGATATATACAACTGTCCCTACTTTGGCAAATTAAATTGTACAGGGTTCAAAAGTAAAAGTCGTGCATTCTATACAATGGCAATGATCATTTAAAAACATTTAGGACATCTTAGTTGACATAGACAAGGGCATTTAAGTCCTTTAATGGTACTGTTACACCTAGACTGAACTGAGTGTTCGTCCACGTATAGCAAAGAAAATTACACAGACCTGTCAACCTATTATTTACTTCGGTGTTTTAAACACATAGAAACATAGAAGTTAGGAGTTAGGAAGTGTTTTTTTTTTCTTTTTGCTACCATGACAACACAGCCTTCCAAGCTAATGCTGCTTTTGTCAGAGGTTTATTAACTAAACAGTGTATTTTGTTTTTAGCAAAACAATTGCTATTTTATCTTCTATACTCCATGACACATTTGAAAACGAATTGCCTGGTTAAATATGTATTCCTTCTTAATAAAATCAAATTCTCGAGTCACCGCATATCACTGTTTAGTAAATACACTCTCTCACGAACCACTCCCATGTTACTTGCTTTAGTGTGTGAAAAGGATACAAATCCCTTATTTGTATGCATTAGACCCAAAATTATGATACACTGCCTGGCCCAAAAAAAAGTCTCCACCCCAAAAAAAAATAAGATCACACACACAAATTTTGTTGGACCACCTTTAGCTTTGATTATGGCACGCATTCGCTGTGGCATTGTTTTGATAAGCTTCTTCAATGTCACAAGATTTATTTCCGTCCAGTGTTGCATTAACTTTTCACCAAGATCTTGTATCGATGATGGGAGAGTCGGACCACTGCGTAAAGTCTTCTCCAGCACATTCTAAAGATTCTCAATGAGGTTAAGGTCTGGACTCTGTGGTGGCCAGTCTATGTGTGAAAATGATGTCTCATGCTCCCTGAACCACTCTTTCACAATTTGAGCTGATAAATCCTGGCATTGGCATCTTGGAATATGTCTGTGCCATCAGGGAAGAAGAAATCCATTGATGGAATAACCTGGTCATTCAGTATATTCAGGTAGTCAGCTGACCTCATTCTTTGGGCACATAATGTTGCTGAACCTAGATCATAGCACTGCCCCCACAGGCTTGTACAGTAGGCACTAAGCATGATGGGTGCATCACTTCATCTTACCCTGACGTGCCCATCACGATGGTTCCTCACTATCCCTCTGGTTTCTAATAATGCGTTGGACAGTTCTTAATCCAATTTTAGTTGTTTCTACAATCTCCTTAGATGTTTTCTCTGCTTGATGCATGCCAATGATTTGACCCTTCTCAAACAGACTAACATCTCTTTCACGACCACGGGATGTGTCTTTCGACATGGTTGTTCAAGAAATGAGAAGCTACTCATTCCATCAGTTTGGGTTAAATAACTTGTTGCCAGCTGAAAGATAATCGCCCATGCAGTAACTATCCAATAGGAGGTTCTTATTGCTTAGTAACTATCATGCTTAGTAACTATCCAATAGGAGGTTCTATTTGCTTAGTTAAATCTAGATGGCAACTTTTTTTTGGCCAGGCAGTGTATAAATCCCTTTTAACACCTCCTGAACCTATTCTAGTATAAAAGCTGCCACCACCAAGACAATTTGTAAATGGGGTGCCATAAATTAGTCCAACCAAATTAGATTAAAACTCCACATAACACAATTTAGCAAAATTGCTGTGAAACCAGTGTTACAATGTCTCTTCAATGACATGATTATTGCATCACACAAATGCAGAACTTTCTAAAGTAACATTTATTATGAAAAATATAGTGCATACATGAAAAAAGATGGTAAACGAATTACAATTAAAATGCTATATATTTATGTACAGAGGTTTCTGATCTCTTTGTAACCAGAGCAGCTCATCTCTGTGAATTAAATCATACAATTAAATTCAAGACCAAATATAAGATATATATGATATGTATTTCACACGTAATAGCCCAAAAATAAAATAGCATCTAAAATCACTTCCAAAACTTTAAGTGAGTGACCCTTCATTGAACCTCCAACACACATTATAAGTATTGTCATTATAAGTATTCTCAATTATCTCTCTAATAGATATCACTGGATCTCTGCGAAAAACTAGTTGATAAATCCCTCTACAAGATTTGGTTTACAAACAGGAAAATAAAACATCCGTAATTGCTTCACCATTTTCAGGGTATTTCACAGAAACCAACAAGGGTAACCATTGCATGCATCCAGTACATACATCACATTGATTGACAATATTACGGGCATGAATAAAGAATCATATGACATACACCATACTTGCTTACAGAATAAACAGCCAAAACAAGAGCAATTGGTCTGATTAATTCAGACCAATAAATGACGACTGCATCATCTCTGCAGAAGTCGGGTGTTCATCACCTGGCAGGAGAGGAGACCAGGAGCCTGGCAGAGTCCCAAGTAAGGGGCCAAACCGTTACAACTTGGTAATTACCAGGGAACTTGGCCAGGGTTCTCCTTGCATTATACAATCAGCGGGCTCTAGTGGTTATGACACTTTAGTAACCCTTTAAGGTAGGTGATGTCTGATGGTAAATTTATCACCAAGTTAACAGAACTTGCCAGGAGACCCTAGCAACTGCATCACAGTTCAGACCTCACCTCCATGAAGGAACACTGATCAAAAATCTAAATATTACTTACATTTTCAAAACTAGAAACGGAGCTTGGGAATATATGACGATTATCATGTCTGGAAAATGTATGTTTCATTGAAGGTTCCTGAAATGAGCAAAAACAAGTTGAATTTGACATTTTTAAATGTAATTATTTTGCATCTTAAAACATGGAGTTTAAATTTTGTGCAGATTATGTTATTAAGGGGGATGTAAAGTAGTTACTCAAATTGAGAACACTCAAATAGCTTTAATAATATTTCTAGCACAGCACTCATTACACAAATTACATTACTGTGCTGTGTACACCAACTGTGATCTGTGAAAATTGGGAAGGTTACAGGGTAATATTGCTGTTATCAGCGGGATTAATTTGTGCCTTAGTGCATTAAAAAATTACATCAGTCTAGCAATCACTACATTTATGTTCTAAGTAGTTTCAGGAGCATTATAACCAGATATAGCAAGTGTGATTCCTTTTTTGTGAGAATGTTCTCTGTCAGGCTGACAAAAATAAAAGGGTCAATTGCACACTATAGTGTCAGGAATACTAACATGTATTCCTGATATTTTAGTGCTGAAGTGGCCATTTAGGTGATCGCCCCCCTCTCTGTTTTGTAAAAAGGTGATTTTACTCATCTTTTCTCCCTCACAGCACTGTTCTTACCGCGGCTTGCCTTATCTCTATCACTGAGATTATCAACCTTGATGATCTCTGCTTTTCCATAGGAAAACATTGGGAGGCTATTGCCTCAAAACGTAGTGCTGCACCGATCAGCATCTCTTCATAAAGATGCATTGAATCAATGTATCTCTATGGGGAACGTTTAGCGTCTCCCTGCAGAGCGTGGAGATGCTGAATGCCAGTGCTGAAAACTGTGCAGCACTGGACTAGAAAGCACCTCTAGTGGTTGGCTAAGTGACTGCCACTAGAGAAATTATTGGGCAGCAGGTGATTAAAATCCTAACAATGCAAGGACAGGCTATAAGACATCAAAACCACTAGATTAAGATATTGTGGTTCTAGTGACTATAGTGTCGCTTTAAGGAAAATCGAGAGATAAGTTTAAGCAGATCTTGTACACCAAAGGCATAAAATAAATGGTACTCAATAAATCACGGCTCTTGGTTTTTGAACAGTGGTTCTGAAAGGTATGCTAGTAATGCATACAGTATTTAGTGCTGACACTGTGAACATTTTTAATCCACATAGAATGAGTGGCACAGGAAATGCTTGGCATGTTTTGAGTTACATAGGCTATCAAAGTGTCTATGAAACAAGTGTTCAAGGAACATTTCAATAGAACTGGTTACTCCAAATGCCTATATTGCTGGGGGGACCTCACTTCTGTCTTGAGGACCATTGTTCTAGCACAAGGGTAGGCAACCATCATCAATCTAGATTATGGGTGCTACATCACCTATAATGCTCTTACAGTCATTATGCTGATTGCAGTTACTATTGATATATCAACTTATTTATAAAATGTTGTCAGACTTGATTTTGACTCCTTAATTAGTAACTACTTTTTTCCTTAGTGTCAGATATAGAAAAAGTGCTTGTAAACCCTAACCCTACCCCGAACTAGTAGGGGTAGGGTTTTATAAGCAGTCCTGATTAAATCTGGAAAGTAGTCATCCTAATCTGGCTCATCGAATAATTGAGAATAGAGACTCAAGAAATATGACTTGAAATAACATTACATTGTTACACTAACTTAATCAATTAAAAAATCCTCGTCAGTTCTCCACATTAGGTCAGGAATCTCAAACTATGACCCACAGATGCTATTAGCCTACAACTCCCAGAATTCTTTAAATGTAATAGATGACTAGAGAATCGAAGGATTTGTAGATCAGCAACATATGGGGAGCCTGGTGATTTTTTTATTTTGCAGAAAATTAAATAGATCATCTGTGTTATCAGTTTAGTTTAGATATTCCCCTACTAATGAGCATTAATAACAAGGCAAAAGTCCCCGTTCTTACAGAGTGGGTAAAGAAAATTCTAATAATACATCACAAATCATATGTAAAAAAAGTGCATACATATACATGTTCAATGTATTATGCATATATGTAAATTGAAGACAGATGTAAAATGATCATCATGGATTTATTTTTTTTATTTTTTTATTATAATCTTTATTTAAAGGGTTTCCCCCCTTTTTTTATCCATAAACAAAGACAATACAATACTACAGTTACATACAAATGATAAAGAAACAATTTCCTATTTAAAATGTTCATCCATAAGATGTTTCCTTATACATTTCGGTTAGCTAAAAACGAACAATACTTTAGACTTACACATCTACCTAAACAAGACAAGACAGTGCAGCAAGAGAGAAGGGAAGAAACTCATCGAGAAAAAATATATATTTGTCTCATAATATATATTATGTTATATTGTCCAAAGCATTAACAGTCAGCCTCATTATTCACCTTCCCCCTCTATTTATCAATCTTCTCCCAACATTTCAACCACATTGTTGTATTCCTGCTTAATTTTTGTTTGCTCAATAACACTTCCATTTTTACTTGAGACTTAAGCTGGGCTTTGACTTGATCCCAAGGAACTTCTCTATCATTTTTCCATCTTCTTGCAATCACTATTTTTGCTGCTAAAAAAAGATGGATAAGAATAATTTTCAAATCCTTTGTCATTACTGGCCAGTTTAGATGAAGCAAAACAGTCTCCGGAGAGAGCCTCAACTCAAGGTTCAAGTCTACGGATACAAACTTTTGTATATTAAACCACAAATTGTTCAGTTTGCTACACTCCCACCAAATATGCTTAAAAGTACCTGTGTTTATACCACATATCCAACATAAATGGTTTGCTGAAGAGTACATTTTATTCAATTTGTCTGGTACTAAGTACCATCTGTTTAGGACTTTAAAATGAGTTTCTAATAGATTTAACTTAATCAATTAAAAAATCCTCGTCAGTTCTCCACATTAGGTCAGGAATCTCAAACTATGACCCACAGATGCTATTAGCCTACAACTCCCAGAATTCTTTAAATGTAATAGATGACTAGAGAATCGAAGGATTTGTAGATCAGCAACATATGGGGAGCCTGGTGATTTTTTTATTTTGCAGAAAATTAAATAGATCATCTGTGTTATCAGTTTAGTTTAGATATTCCCCTACTAATGAGCATTAATAACAAGGCAAAAGTCCCCGTTCTTACAGAGTGGGTAAAGAAAATTCTAATAATACATCACAAATCATATGTAAAAAAAGTGCATACATATACATGTTCAATGTATTATTCATATATGTAAATTGAAGACAGATGTAAAATGATCATCATGGATTTAATCAACACCTAGCCCCTTCACATCTTTCCAAAAACATTGTAAAGCATAACATTAATTTGAAACACGGGATACATAGATGCCAAAGAAAATAAGGCAAAATAGCAATTGTGTGCATTGCCTGCTGTTCTGGAATAATTAAAAATAGAATCAGATACATTTACATATTTTTTTCATTTATTTGGTCATTCATGGAAATACGGAGGGTTTAAAGGGACACTACAATGATGGGAATGCAAATGTGTAGTCCCAACGCTATAGTGCCATGGTGGCCGTTTAATTCCCCGACGTGGCTAACCACTCCCCCTGTTCCCTGGATGATCACTCCCTCTTGATGGGGGCATCTTGATCCTTCTAGACATCAGTCGCTTCATTTAGTTAAACAATAATCACTTCCTCCAAAAGCAGGGAGAGAGGTGTGAAGATTGACTCATGTTATGTAACATACGCTTAGCCTGTCCACATGGAGGAAATGGTAAATGGGTGAGGAGAGTTTCTCTCACTTCACGATTAACCACCCTTATTCCCTTAATACAGGTGAGGTTTACCAAGAGAATGCTTCCCCTGGACGCCGATCATGTCACTCAGATAATAGAATGGGAGAGACTAGTCGACAAATCACTCTCAGCAGTGGCTGAGAGGCAAGGGAGGGAGAAAAGGGAGATATTGTCCCAATCCTTGAAAAGTAAAAACAATCTGCCTGCTCAAGTGGGACATAGTGGCCAGTGAATGAGGTAGGGCTCCCCTCATCGCTGACCACTCCCTACCCTGGATGGAATCAGGAGGGATATGCTGACTGGCCACTCCCTCTGAGTGAGGGTTTATAGGTCATAAAAATCATGTGCCACAGAGGCAGGTACTCATCCCGACTTGTTTGGAAACATTAGTTTCACACCACCGCTTACATGGCGTGAGCGGAAAGGGGTGTGAGCACCTGCCCCAAAATGGAAAAGGCTTTACATTTTTCATTGAAAATCGTCAGTCCCCATTTTACCCTGATTAAAGTGTGTGTCGGGCATGTTTTTTCACAGCATCTGTAGTGGGATAGAGGACCTAACAACACTTTTATTCCCTTTGTTCGGCTGTCCGTACCCGTCCCTCCCTCTTCTCCCGGTTCGTTTACCAAACAAACTTTGTGTGGTCTCCTTGTTCGCAAATTATGTTTGGACTTGATTAGAAGATGGTGCTTGTCCCATTCTAAATATAATAGGAATGAGGCTTAATGATTAATCTGTGAGTCGGTATTAATGTTTCTTTTGGATATGATACTGGAACACAAGGCTAATGGCCATTAACATATCAATGGACACCCTATCTAAGAGGGTATCTAGACATATTTAAATAAGACTTCCAGGCCACGTATGTATGACTTCTCACACCTTACAGAGCAGCTCTGTTGGGGTCCCAGCTTCAAAGAGGAATTAAGGCTATACACCTTCTGACCTCCCATACAACCAAATTAACCCCTTTTGAAAATTTATTTTTGGGGTGTTTTAGAATATTTTATATTTTATATTTTTCTGTAGAGGATCCTGGGAGGAATTGCCCTGTATAATTGTATGAGAGATCCCATGTAGGGGTCTGTGCATAAAAGCCGTGTGTGCCCAAAATAAAAATCAGTTGACTCCCAGAACTATGTGTCATCTAGTTGCTGGGGGAAAAGTGTCTTGGATTATTATACTGCTTCTTTCAGTTACGAGGAAGGAATAGATACCTATGCTAGGTATTGGACCTGCTACAGCATGTTTTTCACTTAGCTTAGATTTTTGAGGCTGGTAACATGTGGGCATAGATTTTAATATGCTGAGGTATTAGGGCCATTTGTAGGGATTTTATTCAACAACCTGAGTAGGTGGAGTAGTTTGGGGATTCCCATCTGTTCTGTCTCCCCTCTTGCTTTAGGTTACAGCATACACCAATTTCTTAAGGTGCATTAAGTAGTCTTAGTAATATACTTAGATGCTAAGTGCTAAGAATTGCAGTAACTGGTTTAAACCCTACTTGCATATTTTTTTTTTTTTGGAATAGTCTTCATCTATAACAATTTATGATGTCAAGGTTAGCCATCACTGATCTATAACCATCAGCCTGTAAGGCACCATATGCAAATTGAGAACACAGGAAGCAATCTTTTCAAAGTATAAAATTATACATAAATTAATAATTAATTTTTGCTCTTAGTGTCCGTAACAACTCAGGGTAAATCTGTTTCTCCTGCAAAGATTGCTGGGCCATTCAATTACTATATTTTTGCACTATTATTTGATTAAGTGTTCACGTGTTTTAAGCAAAATCAGGGGATTATCCTCTTTTTAACAATTTTTTATTAATATACCTATTGTACATCTTTCATTATTTGTTTTCTTTTCCCTCACTCCCACAAAGTTCTAAGTTTTAGGGCTAGTATTTTGAATGTTTTAATCATTTGATCGGAATAATAGTTTTACTTGTCTATTTTGTCAGAAGCACCTCTAGTGGCTGTCTGAGTGATAGCCACTAGAGACATTAAGCCCTGCAATACAAGCCCTGTCATTCTGCAGAACAGCAAATCTTTTACTTGCAGAGTTTAAACGAGGGGGGCATGGTACTTTGACTACTTCATTGAGATGAAGTGGTCTGGGTACCTATAGTGTCCATTTAAGTTATTAGAGATCATATGTATGACTTATATACAGATTCACATTAAGTAGCTCAGAAGAAATATGATTATTAGAGATGATGTAAAATATGTACTCTATTCATGTAAAGAATCTTCTTGCATATTTGGGAATGCAGAATTTCAAAATGTCCACAGAATACAAAAAAGTATGCACAATTCCACATATAGAATATACAGTTTCCTGGCTAAAACTGGGCATTTATATTACAAAAGATATTAGAGGCTGAAACTGAAATTGCTAAAACATGCCTAACATATATACCTGAAGCTTCCTTACTTCCAATCATTAAGAGGTATCTCAACAGGGCAAGAAATAGGCCATGATCAAAGCTCCAGTGATGAATGTTGGGACACATACTAGAGAAGGGTGTTTGCCAGTCCGTCAACTTGGGCTCTTCATACACAGAGTGCTACAAGAGCAATCTGAAACTGGCTCACATATAAATCACTGCAGAGAACACGTTTCCACTGCTTCACAGTCCAATGGAAAAGAGCTACACAATACTTCAGCAATCATTTGGCATCGCATTTGATGATCATAGGATTATATGTCGCTGCTCAACCATAGAAACTCTGTTCCTAACAGACATTATTATTATGAAACATGAGCAACTAAGGACACTGAGCCATTATGCTATGGTCATTATTTAGCTGCATGCTTGAATTTATACACTTGTTAGCAATGAGTGTGGTTAAAATAAATAAATATAATAAAAAATATGAATTTAAACGCTTGCAGTCAAAACAGTGTGTTAAATAGTAAACTTCGTCAGAATAACTATAAAATGGAGCTTCAGTCATAAGAGCAAAGCATCATTATGCCTCTGGGTTTATGGTTGGAACGGTCCTCATGTGATTTGGGGTTCTGAGTTTTCAAAGTTAGGGGGACTTTGGGTTAGGGATGCTTAGGGTTCGGATTAGGAGGAGTTTAGGATTCAGGGTTAGGATTCACTTTAAGTTTTTTTTGTTTTGTTTTTTTAAATTATTTATTTTTGTTGTGCACAAATTAACAAACAGCCTCAGTATGCCACAACAGCGGTATTGAGGTAAATAAAAATTAAATATGCAATACAAGATGTGACATTTGATATTTAGGCACAATTATTTTTTTTAAAGGGTAAGCTATAGATAAGTCAGGCTAGTGAGTTCAAGAATAGTAGGCTAAGTTGAGCTGACAGTTTAGGTTATTTAGTTAGGACATAAGTAGTCAAACGTGGTATAAAACTTGCACATTAACTATAAGAACAGCGAGCGGAGTTTAACACGTGCTAGGCAAGCATAGGTTCATATACCACATGCTCGTAGTGCCACAACAGCAGATACAAGCTCAACCACAACATATATGTTGAATTACAAGCAGGGCAAAAGAAAAGTCAACACAATTTTTCAGAATGGGAAGTAGGAAAACCCTCTTGGTTTAGCTGGTTGCAACTGGTAGATGTTGTCAGACTAATGTACAGTGTGCAATCATATGCATGGAGATTGCTGGGTCCCTGTTTGCGTATTCATGGTATGCTAGTGATGTCAGATGCTAGTTAGTAGGCTGGTAAAAATGCAGGACGAGACATTTGTCAGTACTTGTGTGAATAAGGGGTAAGGTGCTGTATGTTAATAAGAGACAGAGCAGGAAGCATATATAACAGAAACTGCTGATAACCATTTGGTCCAGCTACTTAAATATCGTCTGCCCATCAAGCCCATCCAAGTTTACATGCGTGTCGAAGTGGAAGTAAAATACCTCCCTGGGGGACCCCGGCTCTCTGAGTGCACGTGTCACTAAAAATGTACAAAAATTTAAACAGAGACAGTCATTTGCTTTCCCCCAACTTGCTGTGTTTACGGGTTTCCTGAGGGGCTAACCATGCCCATGGTTGCAGTCCCACACTGAGTCTAGCCAATACCCCGCTGGGGCAACACAAAGTCCAGCTGTGAGAGTCTCAGTGTTGGGCCCATCCGTCCATTGCAGTGGAGACCTGCGTTAGGGTTACAAGAAGATGATGCATCCATTGGGGTCTCTAGGGTTCTCCTCTGATAATCAGGGTCCGGTACAGTGAGGGACGACGAACTCTCGACGGCTTCATAGCAGCTGTTGGTTTGAAGCTGGGTTTAGGGAGGACCTGTGGTATTTTGCGATAGGGCACAGCTATCTGATTTAGTCATGTTGGTTTCCGTGCAGGCGGGAAAGGTCTCTTTCTTCGGCGCCATCTCCGAGCTCCCTTCGGATGGAGAACTGCGTGTCTGTGGCCGGGGCGTGTGGATGTCTCTCTAAGTGAGTATCCATGTGCTCTAGTCTGTCTCTGCTTGCTAATTTCATTCAGAAGGCTTTGAATATGGCATTAAGCCTTGTAATTTAGCGTTTGTGGGTGCACGTGGCATCCGCCATTGTGCAGGCCTCTGCTTTTGGAAGCTGCTTGTGTGGCTCTGCTGCCTGTGACCGTTGTAGCCTGGTTTCCTCAGGGGAGTGGACCAGGATTACCCCCACCGGTCTTAATGGCAGGGGGGGGGGTGGGGAGGTAGGAAATTAGTGGCTCTGAATCACCGGCGTAAGGGCAAGGAAAGCAGTCACCTCTCCCCAGCTCCATCCACCACAGGCCGCAGCGCGCCACCTCAGGTTCACGATCATGGAAAACTCTCGTTACTGGTATTAGACGATTCACCAGGGTGCCACTGATTTGGGTAGCATTCCCCGGCATTTTTTTAAGCTTTGTGTTGATGAATATTTCAATAAAATCAGCATGTATAGTGGGAGCCCATCTAATATGCGACTGCATAACTTGCAGGTCAACTTGCAGGTTAACTTGCAGGTCAGACTCCGCCCCCGGGGGGCTTAAAGTTATGCAGTTACGGCCTTTAAGATCGACTAATCCCCATGATTCTCAGGCAGCCTAAATTAGTCAGTGTTAGTGCTGTTTAGAAGGTCATCTATTTCTGTCTAGTCTGTTCTAAGATGTAGGGCAGCAGAATACAGCATCTGTCTGACATCACTTGGTGAATATGGGATCTAAATCCCCGCCTTCATCTGTTACCAAAATAAAGAGTATATTCATGTTCTATTATCATTTCTTCAAGTAATTTAACTTCGGGATGGAGGTGGAGTGACATTATCTAAGAGTCCATTGGGATTTATAATCCTTTAAGATTTTAAAGAGCATCACCATTATTTGACAGTTAGATCTTTAGAGAGGAAGAATAGTAAGAATGATCTCCCACTCTACTATACTAATACCTATATTATTCTTTTACTGTTGCTGGCTAATTTGTAATAATAATGTTAAATGACGGCAACAATGGTTTACTGAACTCTTTTTTTCAGGCTAATCCATGGGTGTCCAAAAGTGCCCCTCCTCCCCCCCAATCATCGGCTGGACAACAATGACCACAATAACGTCAGCTCTGCTCTTGAAGACAATAATATGAACTGTAGGAGGCACAGTCCACAAACCTGATCTGCCAAGTACTTAGCGGCGAATATGTATATTTTCACCAATGCCCAGCTGTCTTCTAAAAGACAGCTTTGAGCCTCGGAGTGAGACATCTGTTGCAGGAGATACATGTATGATCAATGCAACTACTAATGTGCACATTGCACATGAGGTACATTATATGAAAGTCCCAACATATTATGTGTTATAAAGTTATTGTGGATTTGCAAAATACAAAAAAATATTGTACTCATGTTACACTATGGAAAACACATTCCTCAGCATCCTCATGAGACATTAAAGCATGTGTGGATTCTATCTTTAGCCAAGCGCAATTTTTTTTATTAGCATGGGAAATATTTTTATTGAAATGTATGGTAATTATTCAGTGTTGTTTAAAATTAGACGCTGATTTTCCATTCTCTTCCATGACTAAAGCAACTCTTTTCAATTTTTTTTTACTGTGCCTTTGAGTTTAATCTTATGACTTGCCTTATCATGTAAACTCCATGTCTACTAGCATGGCTGACGTACATATGTGAGTTATTAACACTGCAGCGGAGGAAGCAACATTGAAAAAGTATTTAGACGTCTTCAGACTCTCAGCCATGCCAAGTTAATCAAATAATTATTTGACATAGCACTTTACCAGGAAGCACGCTGACATCATGTCACGTTTCCAGGCAACACTCTGATGTCATATCAATTTCCCAAGAAGCTCTCTGACATCATACTGCTATCCCAGACAACCCTGTGGCATTTTGACACTTTCCAAGGCTGCTCTCTGACATCATATCAGTTTCCAAGGAAACTCTCTGACATTGTACCAATTTCCTATGTAATCCTCTGACATCATATCATTTTCACAGAGAACACTTTAAGACCATTCTACTTTCCCAGGCAATTATGTGACATCATAAGACTTTCCCAGGCAACTCTCTAACACTACTGAATCTACTCTTATAGAATTATGTCTAACTTCTGTACAAAACGTCCCTTGCACAAAATATTAAGACCATGGGCAGGTACCATATGAGCCAACTTCCTACATGAAGTCTTGCACAGAATGTGGGGAGCCAGCAAGTAAGTAAGCATTCTGCTAAAGGTTATACCTCTAGGACATAGGTAGACAACCTTCGGCACTCCAGATGTTGGACTACATCACATAATGCTCTTACAGCTATAAAGGTGGCAAAGCATCAGGGGAGTGCCAAAGGTTGTCTAGCCTTGCTTGATATAACCTTTATAAGGATACACTTAGTCGCACTGACTAATGTCCTTCAAAGAGACAACCCATTATTATTAAAACAATAGCTCATCTGTTTTCAAAAAGCAGATAAACGTCATAGTTTTTTTTTGTTTGTTTTCCTTTTGACATATTGTATAAATATTTTTTTTAAATTATATCACCAATGTTTTATCAGAGTCTGTACAGTTTAAACAGCAACGAGATGCATACTTGCAAAAACATAATATTCAATTATATAATTTTTCAACTGTGGGGTAATAACTTCTTTACCCAATGATAAATCTGTCTGCCATTCTGGGGTCAATAAAGAATTGGTTTGCTAGTTTGTTGCAAAATTGGATGTGCTTCAAACTGTTTTAGTTTTTTTTGTTTTTTTGCTTAAGGCAGAAATTGATGGACACATTTCCTTTTAGCCTATGTAACTATGTAACCAATAATAACCACATATTACAATGTATTCAAATATTCCCTGCTATTTTGCAACTAATATTGAAGTTTTGTTCTGTCTGGAAAAGACAGAGACTTTGGCGACTAAATTGTGACGTTTGGCGTGTGTCTATTACAGCACTGATCATAAAAATAAAACAATAAAACAATGCTGCGCAGTGTCCCTGTCGATTTATCAATATAATAAAATTACGCATCCAGCAGGATTACATTCACAGAAAAAGTGTACATGATGTGAGTACAAATAATAATTATGTGTTTATTCCATCTCCCTAGAAAGACAATAGTTTGTTTACTGAGTAGAAAACCACTCTGAATAGTTATACAAAATACTACATTACAAAAGTCCCTGTGTGCAACCTTCTATTGCAATGTCATCTCACACGGTCATGTTCGGTGAACTATTTATATAACAGGAGCCTGCAGACCCAAATAAATGTGCAAAAAGCATGAACAGACAGAAGCAGTTATTAATGTGCTGAACAAATGTTGCAATAAGACATACGGTTACAATCCATGCAGCAAACCCTACAGAACCAAATCTCTGTAAAAAGGAAGCAATTGGCACTGAGATGTATTTACAAACATGCTTTCTGGGACATTGCTGGACTCATTCAAAGTTGACCTTTTTGGGCTATTGTACCTATTCTGCTTTCTTGGAAATGTACTTGCCGCTATTATATAACTTGTGAATAGTATTTTTTTTTTCTCTATCAACCTGGAAGAACGGATAATTGCCTATCTTCTGAAGTGCACAAGACATTGCAGTGTGCATACAAATTTTACTGAACAGACAGAAATTTGAATATAAAAAAAGAAGAGAGAAAGGGAGATGCCATGGCGAGTAGCTAGGCAGAAATAACACCACAATTATCTGTAAAATCTTTCGCTCAGTCATTGAACTACAAGCAAATGGAAAATGCAGCCATGAGTACATCTTCTACAATGAAATAATCACAGGTTTTCAAAATCAGAGGAACACAAAGAAGTGCCTACACGTGCCAAGATGCACATCTTTGTAATTTAGTGACTTCTCAACATATTATTCCCAATTGCTACTGACTGTTAGGAAAGCCAATCGGTTCAACGTTTTCTGCATATGTTTCACTTTTTTATGGTCATCTCCGGTGATTGCCTAAATGATGTGTATGTCATGCATGTTGGATTCGTTGCTGACATAATAAGTAATGAGTTAAAATACTAATGGTGGTAAATATCATGCAACATGCTCTTAGCATTCAGTCTAATCAGCTGTGAATATATAGTAGGATCAAGAGTAAACATTTACACAGTGTTTCAGATCATTGTAGAAAGATTAAAGTTGTCCTCTGAGGTATGGCCTGATCACAATTCCATGCACCCACCCTGGTAAGTGTCACAGTTTAACTATATAACTACCTATGCTTGTGTGAGGCTTGAAGCTCTTAGGGTAGTGATATTCTTGAAGAAAGAATCTATTTCAATGGGTGCTAAACGCTGGGATCCAATTCTATTTCAACAGGCACAAGTAATATCCCACAACAAATTGGAAGTAGTAGTCATGGCTCCCCCCCAAAAAATGTGACTATATCAAATGCAACATTTTTCCATTTGACCATAAAACTTATCGAACTATCATTTATAAGTCAAATTAGGACAAATGTTGGGGCACCTGCATCGTCTTGCCCAAAAAGTGTGCCACGCTTTTTACTCTTGTCGGCAGAACTAAATGGACCAGCTGGACGTCTTTATGGCACAAATGGTATTCAGCCTCATAAGGCAAGTCAAATCTTCACTTTGGAAATACAAGACATCATTTTCAAGTTCAATTAGTTAGCATACTAGCTGTAGGTGGATACCAACTATGGAAAGACTACTAAGGAGATCAACTTCCATTCCAGAACATTGGTGAGAAGTCAGTATAGGTCCTAGAGAAGGCATTTTACTGAACTTATATCACCAAATGATCATGCTGCTCTCCTGCCATTCCCCCACCTGACTCCTCCACCACCATGATGGTGTGTGATAGATAGTTTTTCAAAGTGCTATTTGATAATATGCAGAACATTTCTGGTGATTGGGCTTATTGTACCAAAAATTATTTAAACAAGAGCATTGCAACAGGAGAATAAAACATGCTTTTAACCATACAACAAAATAGGAGAGCTGCGGAGTAAGTTGGCGCCAGGGCCGGACTGGCCCACCGGGATACCGGGAAATTTTCCGGTGGGCCGTCGGCTCCTGGGGCCGGGCAGACACCTGGGTCTGCTGTCGGCCGCTGGGGAGGTCTTCTGGCGGCCGCTGGAGGACTTGTCCTGGCGGCCGCTGGGGGGAGCTGTGCTGGCTCTGCTCCCCAGCGCGCAGCTGAATGAGACCGGCGCCGGAATATGACGTCATATTCCGGCGCCGGTCTCATTCAGCAGCGCGCGAGGGCGGGAGAGCACAGACAGCGCAGCTCCCCCAGCGGCCGCCAGGACAAGTCCTCCCCCTGGTGTTAGGTACTAGTAATGTGATTGTCTGTGTTATGCTGTCTGTCTGTATGGTGTGTGTGTCTGTATGTCCGTGTCATGGTGTCTGTCTGTATGGTGTGTGTGTCTGTCTGTCTGTGTCATTGTGTGTGTGTGTGTCTGTCTGTGTCATAGTGTCTGTCTGTCCGTCATGGGGCGTGTGTGTGTGTGTGTCTGTCCGTCCGTCATGGGGTGCGTGTGTGTGTCTGTCCGTCATGGGGTGTGTGTGTGTGTGTCTGTCCGTCATAGGGTGTGTGTGTGTCTGTCTGTCCGTCATGGGGTGTGTGTCTGTCTGTCCGTCATGGGGTGTGTGTGTCTCTGTCTGTCATGGGGTGTGTGTGTGTCTCTGTCATGGGGTGTGTGTGTGTGTCTGTCATGGGGTGTGTGTCTGTCGGGTGTGTGTGTGTGTCGGTGTGTGTGTCTGTCATGGGTGTGTGTGTGTGGTGTGTCTGTGTGGTGTGTGTGTCTGTCTGTCTGTCATGGGGTGTGTGTGTGTGTGTGTGTCTGTGTGTCTGTCTGTCCGTCATGGGGTGTGTGTGTGTGTCTGTCTGTCCGTCATGGGCTGTGTGTGTGTGTCTGTCTGTCCGTCATGGGGTGTGTGTGTGTGTCTGTCTGTCCGTCATGGGGTGTGTGTGTGTCTGTCCGTCATGGTGTGTGTGTCTGTCTGTGTCTGTGTCTGTCATGGGGTGTGTATCTGCCATGGTATATGTGTGTTTCTGTGTCTGTCATGGTGTAAATGTGTGTTTTTGCTCACCTTTTTTTTCCCCCCACGCAGCGTGCTGGTCTTCCCTCGACTGGCCCTGCCTCTATAGCTGAGATCATCAAGCTTGAATCAATGTATCTCAATGGGGAACGTTCAGCACCTACAGAGTGTGGAGGCCTTGAATGTAGGTGCACTAACACAGGAAGCACCTCTAGTGACCGTCTGAGTGACGGTGACTAGCAGTGTCACTTTGAAGCAATGTAAACACTGCCTTTCCTCTGAAAAGTCAGTATTTACGTTGAAAAGCCTGTAGCGACATGGTATAGACACCAGTACCACCACATTAAGCTGTGTGTGCGTCTGCTAGTGAGTGAGCTTGCTTGCATGCGTGTGCCTGCTAGTGAGTGAGCTTGTGGTTTTATGTCAATGAGCTGATGTATATCAGTAAGATTGTTTGTCTATGAGGCTGTGTATCAATGAGCTTGTGTGTGTCATTGAGATGTCAGTGAAATTGCCTGTGTCTGCATGTGAGTATGCTTACTGTATAATTAAACGTTTTACCCTGAAAGGACCAATATTTTATATTAGAAAAAGCAATATATATATATATATATATATATATATATATTACTCAATCATCTGTCCTGGCAAGACATAGCCTTACATATTACACGCGACAATATATGGCGCAGTGACTTATGGGGCTGGCACAATTTTTTTTTCCAGGGCTGCTTTGTATCCCCAGTCTGGCCCTGGCTGGCGCTGTATAAATGCCAATAATGACAATAATAACAGAGGGTAAAATAGCTTATAAAAAAGAAAGAAAGAAAACTTACGTCTTCTTTGGTAAAATGTAATAATAAAACAGAAATGCATAATGCAATGTCCCTGTTACTTTATTTATGGACATGCTCCAAACATTGTAAAGTGCTTAAGCTTATTAAAAAGATCTTTTCCTTGTATATCCAAAACTCAAGGGTAGCCAAAATGAAGTGTGCACAGTATAATGTGTCCCTGAGAGGTTATTACTTCCACAAACACGCTTGCCTTCTATGGGCTTTGAATTGGAAGAATGATGTAGGGATGTCTGTTTATGCAAACAGCCCCACAGAGAAGGTTTATAAAAAGAAAAATTCCTTTTACATGTGGTTTTAATTAGCAATAGCAACCGACCAGAACTGACAGAGCCTTGTTGAAGTTGACATATCCTTTCATGCCTTTATTTGTTCGTTACACAGGTGCTTATGTCGAAACCTAGTTCTGTACATTTATAATTTATCTTGACGTGCTGTAAAGGACACCATGGATTTCAGAATTTAGGCTTTTATGCTCCGGAGACAGGATCTGCATGCGTTTTGAAAACTCTATACTGCAGCATTAGAACATTAAAAAAAATTAAAGACTACAAGAGCATTATTTGTGAAGATGGCGTAATGTTGCAGGAGGTCACGCATGAATGAAAAATTCCACCCTTTTCCTGTATGGCATTCTTTCCTCTTGAGGAGCCCAGCCCGGGTTTTGGCCAGTTTGAGTGAATGCATCCATTAGCCTTCTATTGTGAGAAACTATGTTTTCTTACTTGGCATAATCTAAGCCAAGTATTTTATGTATGTAAATATGTGCTATGGAAACAAAAATAGACTGAGGACAAAAAAGATCATATGACCCATATAAAGAACATCATACTTGAGTTGTGTAATCATGTATAGAGTTGAAAACTAAAACCCAGAGTCTAATTAGAACACTCTAGTGTTAAAATAAGGGTCCCTCAAAAAAAGGGGGAGGGCCCATAAAAAGGGAGAACGGATATAAGAAAATATAACCTTTAATTACCTCGGCACAGTGATGAAAACCACTAATACCTACCTAAATACTTGTCCTATTAACTAAAAAAAAATAATAGTAATAAAGCTACGTATAAACAGAAAAGTGAAAAAGAAAAGGTGCTTCCCATAAGTGTTAAGTGAAAAAAATCAAGTAGCCCTACTACTTTTCAGTGGTTTTAATGTTGTGTCTGATCAGTGTATATAAATTAATTTATTTTTAATGTTGGGGTGTTGGAAGGACTATTTGGATTACTGCCCTATTATAAAGAGGATATTTACTTTAATTTAGCAACTCTGTGCTGCCCCCTTGAGATTATCACTAGTGATAATCTCCTGGCAAATTTAATGATGCAAAAGAATTGGAACGTGCGACACATGCGTAACAATTGCACACGAAAGTCTCAAAAATTGCAGGGAGCTCTCAAATCATGAGGAAAAGCACTCTCTCAGTTCTTTGCTTGACAGCTGGGAGGAGGCAACCCATGAGCATTATAAGTGCCTAATTCTCTTTTATAAACAAAGCAAGCTTTAGTAGTTTGTAGTCTTCCTTTAATAATAACTTAGGCCAATGCCAGCACTTAAAACATTCTTATACTGCATTTCAGAATGTTTGTAAACAATAGACACTGTAACGTATCACCTGGCACCCCCGACTGGGTACCTCCGTTGAAGGATGCTCTTAGCGCTTCCTGAGGACTCCAAGCACTCTGGCAGACACCACAATCACCGAACCGGAGAAACAAATAAATTCTCCCAAGCATATGAATGCTGTAGACAGTTGAATAGGAACCATACGAATAGGTTTACTCTCCTAGCAGTCAAACTGGAACAGCATACAATGAATCCTTCCCCCAATAATGAGACGACACTTCACTTTGAGGGTTAAAACAGGAACTCCCTGTACTGTCACATACAGTCTCTTTTATTCCCAATCCACAAACATAGTACATCCCACAGGGCGTTACAAAACAGCCAATCAATCCATACAATACACCCAGACACTCCCACACAAAATCCTCCCCTCTGGCTGTGATATGATTACTGAACACAATGGGTAATCTAATTACCACAGAGAAATACAGTTTCATAAAACACATCACAGGGACCCCAAAACATGCAATAACCCCATAAAAAGTATATCCTTGGAACTGGGGGATCTGGGTGAACCACATATCCAAAATTCACCCAGATCCGTTCAGTACTTTGGAAAATACAGTTTAATGCAGATTCTGCAGAACATATACAGGCTAAATAAAAAACAATCACTGAATAATGTGTCCCCTGCTGTATAGTCCAAAACCACCGCACGATGTCTCTGTGCAACAAATACTGGCGAGATGGCACCGTGTTGAAAAGTCCACACAGTGTCTGTGAGTTAAAATGGCCGCCATCCATTGTTCTCACCATGTGCTTCTGATACAGGAAATGGTGGCCACCCAGTAACTCCACAGTATGTCCCCAGATGGTTCTTAAAAGGGCTAGCAGCAGCACAACACAAATCCATTATGCCCAAATCATGTTTTTAAAGGGCAATACATCCCAGGGGCCATAGTCACATGGCAGGAGGCTGGCAACCAGGCTTCTCCAGTGCATAGGGGCGAGGTTGGTTCCGCCACAGGCACCAAGATACTTCCGGGTGGCAGAACGCGAGCGGCTTGCTCTATATCAGGTTGAATGCTGCAATGTGCCGATCAGTGAGTCACCCTGCGGAGGACTCGTATTTCAGCTGCCATAGCCCATACTCCCCCCCATTCCCGGGGCTGACAGAGAATGGTGGGAGCTGTAGACTCTCACCGACATGCTCACATGCAAAGAGGAGATGCTCACTCCTTGTGAGATGCCATTGGGGCCCCCAACTCTGCCAGTTAGGGGGCCTTCACTCTCTGTGAGATGCCATTGGGGCCCCCAGCTCGGCCAGTAAGGCAGCTCAGCCTCTTCCCATACAGTGCCGGCTCCGGCCAGAGGTTACACCACGGACTCTGACAGCAGGCTTGGTTCTCCTGCTCTCGGTCCATGCGCCGGGCTGCCTTCATTGGTATGTATGTTATGAGCGGTCGGTGTCCGCGGTGTGAGAGGGCAGACTTCATGTCTCTCTGTGCGCAGCTCTTGCTCCTACTAGTGGTGCCATCAGAGAACGCTTCAGTTTTTGACACCTGGAAGAACTTCTGTTACTGTTGTGACGTCATGGTGAAAGCATTTATAAGATAGGAATTTAGTAAACAAACATGATCACTCAAAAACATAGATGGAAAATGAAGGTCATAACAACATTTGTTTTAAAATGGCCATGAATCGGTGTTTAGAAAAACTCATTTCTCATTAGGCATGTTGCATCCACCTTTGTGAACCAGGTTTCTGTTTAGGGGTCTAGCTTATAGAGGGTACTCTTTTGCAAACTGATATTATTGAAAAGTTAGATCAAAGATGCAAATACATAGAGATATCAGTTACACAAGTTGGACAAGGGTGGTTGTACAGTTCAATTACAACAGTAAATGTTCTAAAATTAGAGGGGGAAAAAAAAATCAAAAACGAACAAATAATGCCTGACACTCCTTCCCTTATGACAAAAAAAAACTGAACACTTAGTTGATTGAATGGGGAATACTGAGAATGAATGAGACAGCACAGGGGAAGTGGAGAGAAAAATTACACTACCAAGGAAACAAGTTTAAATTGTAGAAGGGGATGGGAAGAAGGATTTTACAGAAAGAGCTGAGCGGAGTAGGGTTTGAAGGAACTTAACTGAAAGAAATGAAAAAGAAAGGGGAATAAAAGTATATATGCAGTATATACACTGGAGGGGGTCTTAATGGGAGGGAGGCTTGGCTCAGGTGGATGAGGCATATCAACAGAATAAACAACAATGGGGTCTAGTGATCCCCTATGTAGCTGGACCAGTGAAAGGGCCAGTGAAAGGATATATCACATACAATACAATTAAACATATAATTCACACACTTTTAGTCACCCTCCTGTTTCTGTATATTTGGGGTGCGAGAGGATGGCTTCCCTGGGGTCCAGTGGCAGAAGCTCTGGGAGTCTCCTGCAATTTAATAGTGGCTCCCTGACACCCGCAAATTATTAGTGCTTGATAGAGACACAGTCGAAATGTTGCAATTTTGCCAATAAAAGGATATCATCTTCTTACAATAAAAACATTTTTTTTGTTTACTCTTTCATACTTATCTGGGAAGGCAGAGCCGGAGACATTGCACCATTAAGAAAAATAAAAGTGAGTGCTGTCTTATCCCATCGCGAATTATATTAAATATGTCAGAAATCTTTTTTTTTTTTTTTAAAGCAAGCAAGAGTTTTTTGGTTTTTTTTTCATGTTAATTTTTTTATTGAGCAAGCAAGAGTTTAATGGTCAATTTTAATTGTAGACGGGCTCTGAAGAAACAGAGAGAGCGAGTGACAGTTGTGGTGAGTGCTAATTAACTTATTAGTTTCCTTATTAGGTGGGCTTTACTGTCGACCTCTCTCTCTCCAGCTTATCCATCAGTTCGGTTTAAATTATTGTCTGCAGCGGAGAGTGTCCAAAAAAAAAAAAAAGAAGTACAAAAACACACTTCATCCCAGACTACATTTAAGTGTATGATGCAATGATGCCAAAGCTGAAAACATTTTCAACTGCATTACATCAGCCACGCATGACAAAGGCCTTGAATGGTCAAACTGAGTAGGATTTAGCAGTGACAAAAGCAATGTGATGATTGACAATAACAACTCTGTATTGTCTAGAGTGAAAGCACAGGTCCCTCATATTTAGTCTTGGCTGTCCTGCCTAGTCAACATTTATACCAAAACTACTGCTAAGGAGCTCTCAATGTCACCGGAAGAACTGCTCGTTGACATCTACTACTACTTAGAGAAAAGTTCCAAATGAAGAGAAGACCATAAACAGTTTCAAGAGTTCTGCAATGTTGCCCAGCAGAGAGTACAAAAGCATTGCCCTACACACTGGCTTTCTTTAGGAAAAGGTTTGGACCACCAATGGCCAGCTATTCTTTCATACTTTGAGTCAAAGAGTGAGAATCAGAAGTCATCTCATATTTAGAAATGGCTGAAAGACCCCCAAATGAAACTATATGCATGCTTTCTCCATAATGTCACACAATGATTTGACAAATTTAATTTGATTTTTCAAACATGTCCACTTTATATTGGATCAGAGCGTACAAGAGATCCTGCATGACATGGCAAGCAGATTTATTAAGCCAAGGGTATTAATAGAACACAACATTCAGAAGACAGATGTGAACAACACTGAAATTCACCTCCCAGATGAATAGCTTTTTATTGGGTACCTGGCAAGGAAGCAGTTACTAAGTGAGGAAGGACAAGAGATGCCCTCTTACAAGACAAAGCAGTTCTTTAAAGATGCCTGAGCATTCTGAGGGGCTTTAAAAAAAATTCTTGGAGAAATTCCCAATGAGAGACCAAATGTTGAAGAATCTGCCAATGGTCAGTATGGAAAACCAAGATGAGGTGAATCCAGAGCAGATTTTGATTTTGAGAGGTTTCCACATGTCATCAAGAGAATAGCTCCACTTGGAAGTCCTGGATTCTATCTCAACTAATCTTGAGGAACTGCTACCAAACTACAAAATGTTCGCCAGTTGATGAGTTCTGTGGGAAACTGACCAAAGTAAAATCTGTGAGCACAGGGTTGTTGCGATTCAAATAGCTCTGCCGTTTGATGAAGCTGCTTTTGGTGCTGCCAAATTCTAATTGTGATGTGGAAAGGACATTCAGCATTGTGCGTCACATTAAGATGGAATTCAGAAGTCAGCTGTCGCATAAAACTTTTGTGAATCTGATGTCTTGCAAAATTACCAAATTGATTGACACAGACTGCTACAAGATATTAGTACACTGAAAGTATGCAAAATAAGTAGAAACGCTTTTAATAGTGTGTAAATAGTTGCAATATGTTAAATAAATGTGTTCTGTCATAATGTTTGGTGGCTGTGTGTGTTGCTAGAAGTAGCGCCGTAACTGGTGAAGCCACCTCCCTGAATTAAGTTTTAGCATTTTGGGATGTCTGCAGTGGAATATTTCTACAGCAGGGCTGCCTCCCTGGCTTCACACATTGGTGGCTGCACAATTTCCGAGAATGGCGGCCACTATACATGGTTCCCTCTGGCATGCTTGAGGACCGTGGGGGTGGTGGTGGGTAGGACTTGGGACGGAGCAGGAGTAGTAACGCACCTCCCTGCCTCCTGATGACAATGATTGGTGCTGGGCTGTGCCATCTGCCCGAAAATGATTATTATGTTATCAACAGGGACAGCATGGAGGAACTGCAGCATGAGAGGGAGATCCACTCATGCTGCAATCACTCAGTCCAGAGCACTCGCAAAGCACTCTGTATTGTGTGAGCTGGGAAATCCCTCTGAAGATGTCAGCAGAGGGAATCCCTCTGAGCAATACTGTTACTGTTAGGGTTAGCATTACAGTAAGTAATAGGATAGGGGTATAACAATGTGGGTTTCTTTAAATTTTTTCCATTTTGAACATTTTATATACAGTTAATGTTCTGTTAGGTATACATATAGGATACTGAAGGAAAGCCATCTCTACCCTTTAAAAACAATATATATATATATATATATATATATATATATTGCTTCACTCAAAGAGAAACCATTACATTATGGTAGAACAATCACATAGGACAAATTCTAGGTTTTATTTTTTGGTTCAGAAGTTGGATGACTGTCTGCATTCTTAAGGGGTTAAACAGGCAGGAATATAAGTACACTTATCTCCCATACCACACATAGATGCCAGGAGTCCATGTAAAAAAAAAAAAAATAAACGTGACCCTCATGATCTCATTATTAAGCAGGAGCTCTGCCAAATGTTACCCTCTGGGATATAGATTAGTAAAAAAAAAAAAAAAAAAACAGCAAACCCCACAATTGTCCATTCTCCCCATTGCTGGCTTTATGATTTGAGCATTTTCATAGTTACAAGGAAAACCCAGGTATACTTGTGCCATAAGCACCAAAACTCATTTCCTAAATTCGATATAGTACTGATTGTATTGTATATCAGAAAAATGAAAGTTGACACAGAACAATGCTGTGTATCTGTGTATATAACAATGCTGTATTTACACTTAAGTAGCAGTATTTCCATATGCTATTGTTTATAAACTCATTTACCAATTTGACGTTCTAATTATATTGCAATGTATGTATTCTTTTATTATTTATTACTGATACTCACTTTCATCCGTTGAACGAACATGTGCGGTGGTTGAGGTGTTGCTTCCTTACGATACTCTTGATAAAAGTCATTTCGAAAATGGCCCCTAAAATTTCCATGAAAGCCACTTGGGAACTGGAAATTTAAATAGAACATTAGGCCAGGGAAAAATAATCCCCAAAACAACTGTTCTAAACAGCACTAACGTATTCATTCGTTTCATCTTTTTTTTACAATTACAATAAACATATCCCGATGTATATTTCCTCCATAAGACTCTTAAGCAGGCTTTAGTTCATAGTTGCATAAATCGGTAAAAGCTGAAGGCCTTTGAAATCATTAATCCATAAAACGCTTTAAGTCTTTCATTTTTTGACCCTACTGCATAAAAAACAGAATGTGATCAACGATGACATCAAATGCATGTATTCATTCCATCAGCATTTCTCCTAAACAACATATTTCTTCAAATACAGAACATGCCTTTTTTTGGTAATCTCTTTGTACTGTTCATATCTAAGGCTGAGGCAAACAGCTTGAAGCCTCTGGGCAACAATTGTTCATTAATGCTTTACAAAATTTTTATTAGAACTCTGTATCATGTAATTTCATTGACTTAAATCCCAAAGGAGATTACAATTTGTAATTCTAATGGCTAAAGGTTGACTGAACCTTAATACACATAGTGATTCAATCTCCTAATTCCCTATTGCTGAAATGTAACCCTGCAAGTACCAAATACATTGTAATGCATTCCACCACTGTTACTCATTTTATTTAGCTACTGGGGTTTATTCACTAAACAGGTGATTTAAAAAACGAAAGACCTCAATTAAAATCCGGCATCAGTAACCTATAGATCAGGCATAGGCAACCTTCGGCTCTGCAGATGTTTTGGACTACACCTCCCATGATGCTTTGCAAGCATTATGTGTGTAAGAGCATTATGGGGGATGTAGTCCACAACTTCTGGAGTGCCCAAGGGTGCCTATCCCTGCTACACATAATGATAGTTTTCATAATGATGAACAGCAGCAGGGCCGTCTTTAATAATGGTTGGACCCCGGGCAAGCATTTGCTTGGGCCCCCTGGACTCTGCCTCACCCACTCCCTGACATGCAATCAGGCCCTCCACTGCAACGCAGTGGTGGAACTAAAGAAGAGAGGGCCCTGGTCAGGCCCAGACTGGCCATCAGGCACACCGTGCAAATGCGGACGCAATGGCCATGGCCGAGGCTGGAAGGGGAGGTCTCAGGACCTCCCCAGCCAGTCCATGCATGGCCCGTGCTATCCAAGCACTGGCCCTGCAGTATTTCATGACGGGCCAGTGGGAAGATCAAAGATATCCCTCACCGGCCCATTTGCAGAGACATGCAGCTAGGGAGGGAGGGAGGTAGGAGGAGGACAGGGTGGAGCTCTATTTGCAACACCCCTGATCCATCACACACACTTTTTCCCTTACACACACTGCACCTCTCAAACACACTGCACCCCTCATACATACACACATACTGCACCCCTCACATACATACTATACCCCTCACACACACCCATTGCATCCTTCACTCACACACAACTGCACCCCTCAGACATACACACAGAACACACTGTACCACTCACACACACACACACACACAATACTTCCAAATATATATATATATATATATATATATATATATATATATACTACACCCCTCACACACATTCCACATTCTCTATACTAACACTCTCTACAGCCCCTAGCCACACATGCATTACATTACACCACAAACACAACATGACTAAAACCGACCTTATTACACACTACCACACCACAATCAGCTCTACACACACGCAATTCCACAAGCAGGCTCCAAACACATGCACCATACTCTTTCCTGGCCCTTTTGTCTCCTGGTATCCCATTTATAGAGACACCAAAAGCAAGTTGCAAAGAAACACAGCGCAAGCATGTTATTAAATTTTCTTGCACTGTGCAGAACAAATACAGGGCCTTTTTCTCATGCTAGAGCTCTGAGCATGGTCTGCCCTGGAAGAGCATTCAACCAACATGCTCACTTTGGGAGGGGGCGTGCTTGTAATTGGTGATGACAAAACACACCCTCCCTGTCCTTTCTTAGTGGGCCGCCGTGCTTAAAAAATGCCCGAGACAAATTTTTTTCCCAGTCCGACCCTGGCCCTGGTGCAAGACTTTTTTTGGGCCCTGGCATTGCAAGGGTGGCCAAAGATAGATCCCTATCTGTCATGCAACTCCAACAATGCTCTGACAGCTTGGGATCTACCATTTTCCCATGCTTGCAAGGCTGTATTTAGCACTGAGCAGTGTTTGTGTGTTTGAATGTAAGCATGTTTTTGTATGGAGTATGTTTGTGTGAATGTAGGGGTGTGTTTGTATGCAAGCATGCATTTATGAATGCAGGGGTGTGTTTATATTGAATTTTGGTGTTTAACACAGATGTATCTGTATGTAGTGTTAACATTTCAATGCAGGAGTGTGTTTGTATGTAGTGTTGAAGTTTGAATGCAGGGGCAAATTTGTGTGTAGTGTTGGCATTTAAATACTCAGATGTATTCACACACTGCCACACACACACACACTGATACACATGCAGATATCCTGACACACACACTGACACAGATACATACACAAAGATACACAACTTGACACTAATGCAGATACACAGACACAAAGATACACACACTGACACACATGCAGATACACACACTGATTACATATATATGCATAGACATACAAAATGACAACATACAGATACACTCACACATAGATACACAACTTGATGCACGTGCAGATACACAGACACACATGTAGATACACAGATACACACTGACACACAATATAACTAAATATAGATACACACAATGACAACATACAGATACAAACACTGACACATATACAGACACACAGATACACAACCTGACACATGCAGATACACAGACACACAGATACACACACTGATATGCATGCAGATACACAGATACACACACTGACTATATACAGAAGCACAGATATACACACTGACACCTACACACACAGATACACACACACACTGAGAACATACAGATACACAGACACATATACCAACAGTCATACTGACATACCCACTCAGACACACACTGACACACACAGACAGACATACTGACAGACACACAGACAGACACATAGACACACATACTGAAAGACTCAAACTCAGACATACTAAACACACACAGACACATACGCGTACACTGACAGACATACTGACACACACAAACAGACACAGTAACACACACACACACACACACACACACTAAAAGACATACTAACACACACACTTAGACACACAAACACAGACACATATACTGACAGACATACTGACATACACACAGACAGATACATATGCAGCAACAATTTATTTTAGGATCACTGTAGTAATCTGTAGTGTTCTTTTAACATTTTCCTGGGTTGGCTTGCAAGTGCAGCACAAGGTGCAGCATAAGGGTTAAAGGACATTACTTAACCCCTTATGGATGGAGGCAATTGTACATGTTCAACAAGGGCAACACTGATTGGCTGAGAGTGTTAGCTTATGTTCTCAGTCAATCACTAGTTTCCACTGGTCCAAGGCTTCCTGACTGAGGACTCGGATGCAAGAAGCACTGGTTTTAAAGTGGACACCCAATGCCAAATTGCGAGGATTTATTGAGTTCACCAAATTTGAACTGTAATTGGCTTTAGTAAATATGAGAGTAGACCAGTTGGAATTCAGTGATTTCAGCAATCTGTTTAGTGAATAAAAATGTTTGCGCTAAATTTTGCCTATCAACATAGTACCATTCATTGTTTAGTGAATAGACCTCTAGACCCCCTGACTTTAAGTATTTAACAATTTTTCAGAAATGGATTTAAAACAACACTGTAGGCACCCAGACCACTTCAACTAATTGAAGTAGTCTGAGTGCAGTGTCCCTTTTGCACCTAGTGCTGCAATGTAAAACATTGCAGTTCCAGAGAAACTGTAATGTTTAGAATGCTGCTCTAAGTCTGCCCTCAGTGGCTGTCCACCAGACAGCAACTGGGGGCGCTTCAGGAATTGAAACAGACCTTTGGTCTGTTATCTGATGCTGGCCTCCAGGGTCAGATTTTCCCCATAGGAAAGCATTGAATAATGCTTTCCTATGGGAAAAAGCGAATGGGAATGCAGGATGCGCGTTAAGTCTCCGCTGCCGTCTAACGGTGAGGGAGGAGCATGGGCAGAGCCGACCCAGCGCCGAGGGGCATCGACGCTGAATTCATGTAAGTGGCTGAAGGTTTTTTTAACCCTTTCAGCCCTGCGGGAGGGGGGCGTGAGGGAGGGAGGCTCCTTTTAAACCTATAATGCCAAGAAAACCGCTTTGTCTTCCTGGCGCTATCAGATCCCTTAAAATTTATTAAAACTGTAATCCAATGGAAATATGTACTACTATATACACATAGTAGATGACATTTTAATACATATTTATTTTCTGAAAATACAATGTACATATTTTAATAATACTAATTTTTGGGAATCAACTAAAGTGAAAAATTTATACCAAAGATTTTAAAGCGTACTTAGACAATAAAATAGTGAATGGTTAAGGCAGGATAAGAAGACTTTTTTGTTAAATAAGAATTACAAGATTTTTCACTAAAGTAATAATTTAAGGTAAATTCAAAGTGAATTACAAATTTAAAGTCAAAATAGCCAAGTTGGAGAAAATTCTCTACATTACCAATGTTTTCAGTTCAGCTAGTCTGGTCTTAAAGTTGCTCAATTGCCATGGTGGAAAGATGTGTTTCAGTAGAGCTCCTGTCCTATACTGGATATAAATGCAATTCTTTACCCTATTAAGCAAGATTTTGACAGAATCCAGCTACTTACCTACGTCTAGACCTAGCTGAGCTTCACCGAAGGGTTCAAAGAACTGACAGGGGCTTAGATTGCACCAGGTGCCCATCAGCACTCAGCACTTAGGGGGGTGATTCCAGTCCATCCCCAGGAGGCTGCCTAAACCTAGTGGAAACTGGGGTGAAACCACGAAGGCGAACAAAAAAGAGAGTGACTCACCTAAGATGGTGGACGCCGCATGGACAACCAACAATACAGAGGAATCCCACAACATCTAGTCCAGGCTGGACTGCATTTTTGATGATTTCTGGCGCAAGTTGGAAAGCAAGCTGCAGCAACCAGTCTCAACGCAGTCAGGTGGTCACTCACCTCACAGGCAAAGCCTTACTCCGCAACAGAAGCTGGCTACACTGGCAGTTAGAGGAGCCCCAACATGGCGGCAGAGCTGGAAGTGCTCCCCACTCCTGCGTACAGCGGCATGTAAACGAGAACTGTCGAGATCCGGCACTGGGACTCTCAACCTGTCAGGGGACCTTGTGGAAGCCCTACTCATGAGAACTGTCTCCTCGGCAAGGCCTTCCAGGTCACAGCTAGGCACGACTATACGCATCACTTTGCTGCTCCTGCAACCTCTGCTTGGGCTTACTCGCCGGATCGGCATACATCCTCCACGAGGCATATTAATCTTACCGAACACCATCGTCACCAATGCGGTCCTTTAGATTAAGGCTAGTGATCTCCATCTGGTTATACTCAGACGACAAGCAAATCGTATTCTATATTTTCCTAGCAGTTATACAGATTTCCTTTTATCTATTTTGTCACCCGGCTGTTTATGCTGAGAAGTATAGTAATGTAAGGCTGCCCAAAGCTTCAGTGGCCACCATAATCTATAGGCACCCTGACTGCACGTGAGTCACCCTTAACAGTTATGCAGTGCCTACTCGTAACCAAATATCACTTTGCCTAATAATCGTCTTGTTTCAATACTCTTGAATCCCTAAACATGTTTGCCTAATTCTATTACAACCTCTTGTTATCACCCTAACCTATAAAATGTGCAGATTTAGCAACATTTTAAAATATATACACACCATGTCTATTGATGCATGTACCTTTGCTAAAATGTCAATATATATTTGAAAGCTATCTTGCACACCAAACATAAAGAATTAAAAAACAAACAAAGAAAACAAAAAAAGGTTTCACCAGAAGCTACATGCTTTCCATTTAAAATATTGTATATGTCACTAACCATATTACAAGTGGCAATGAACAAGTTAAACGAATTCAATACTCCAGTAGATGTTTATACAAGACCAAGGTCATAATATAGGCAAAAATTAGAAAATATCCTTACCCAAGATCCAGCAACAGCCCCAGGCATCACCCTTATCACAAAATCCACAAGCAGTGATTTTTTTCAGGTGTGAATGATACAAAAATATGACCAGAAGGTTTCTGTAGTTGAACATTTGTATAAGGTTACTAGGGTGTTGTTGTCAGGGTTGCCAAGTGACCAGGATAGTAGGGTGTAATCATTGAGACAATTTAGCTGAGCACGGTTGCACAATAAGCTACTGTAGCCAGCACTATCAGTACTAAATTCATTTGAGACTGATATAGAGAGAGAGAGACTCATGTTTGTTTCTAAAGCAAAATAATTGAAAATCAAATTGCAAAATGTGTTCTAAGGTGTGTGTCAAATTGAAAAAAAAAATAAAAAAATTAGCCAAGCTGTGATTATAGTTGAGCTGGAGAATCTTTGCTAATCAGTTATTTTAGCCTAAATTTTGAAATCTAATTTTCTTCAATTCACCATTTAATGTAACTCCTGAAACGAGGAGCGTGGCTTACTCGCCGAAAGAGATGGCTGCCTGATTCTTTTCTTTTGAGTGCCTTGAGACACTTAACAGTGTTTTCCCAGCCTTTTCTCAGTCCTGGAGACCGTATCTCTACAAGGATAGTGATACTTTAGAGAGAGTTCAGAGAAAGGCTACTAAACTGGTTCATGGATTGCAGGATAAAACTTACAAGGAAGCACCTTTAGTGGCTGCCAGTATGAGCATGACAGTCAGTATGAAAGCAACTAGAGGCAGGTTGACCCTGCAAAGAGAACATTCCCGCAGAACAGCAATGTTTTCAGCTACAGTGTTAAAACAGGGGGGCACATGATGGTACCCAGCCGCTTCATTGAGATGAAGGGGTCTGAGCGCCTATAGTGTTCCTTTAGTGAGACCCTCTTATCAGACCCTCTAATAAAACAAAACAAGAAGCCGCAACGGCCTTATCTCAATACTTTCCCAAAAACAAAATGCCAGATACCTTCCCTCTTAGTACCTGGGATGCACAAAAGTAAGTCAATGTTTGTTTTATTGAGGAAAATTGCAGAAAGCACAACATATGCAATAAGGTTATATTATCTTTTTTTTTTTTTTTTTGGAAAGGTAGGCGAGAAGTATAACATATAAGCAATATATCAGCAAGAAAAATCAAAATGGCTTATGAGTAGCGGTGAACAATGCAGAGTTAAAGAGGTAAACAACAGAGAAGCAAGCCAATTATACATACTAAAATAAGATAAATCAATAAAAAATTAAAACAAGTATACAAGCATGCAATGTCAAAAGTCCTGTAATTAGAAAACTTGAGGCTGAGAGGAGAGAGATGAAAATCAGAAGATTCCTAGGCTTGGGAAATACTTATTTTCATGCTGTAAAAAGAGCATGTAAGGATCAAGCAAAAGAGTCAAAAGAAAACCTAAAAAAATCCACAATGACAGCCCCGTTGGTCCAAAGGGGGCTGTGGGAATTAGGCACCGGCAAGAATTTACAAAGGAACAGATTGCTCCAGCCAGGAGATTTGCCAGCCCTCCTGTCCACAATGCATGCTAGGCAGAGGCAGAGGGCTCACAACACACCAGGCCACACAGTCAAAGAGTCAGAACACGATACAGATCCACAAATAATGAAAAAGGTCACTTGAAGAAAGTACAGTTATGTCAAGGATCAGATAAGTATCTACAGGAGTAGCAGAAAGGGCCAAATTAACAATTTAGCATTCAATATGTTGATATTAGCTCTCATAAGTCAGGCCCATGCCCCCATGTGTGGCTTCTTTTTGCCAAAAATGCAGCTTTAAAATAATTCCAAGTAGCAGGTATTCGCTTCAGTCCCTGGAAGGTGTCCATTAACAGTCCCATGACCCCACTACCTTACAAAATTTGATAGCGCGTAAGAGTAAACTCTTCTTTCGACACATCTCCCACCAAAGCTCCCTCCTCTGCATCAGTGCTTTCTTTTACACAAATGTGGCAAGTTGCTTGCATGCATAATAAATACAGAGCATTCCAGAACACATATTGTACAAATGCATGACTCCAAAAACAGATTACACCTAGTTTAGGCATAGCAGTTCGCAAACACTGGAATAATACTCCATCAATATTCATTGATGCACCTCACCTGTACAGAGGAATGAAATCTATTCTCAGGATAAAGTCAGGACAAGCATCCAGACACGCATCCCAGAGGAAGCCTTGAAATATTTGAGGCCTCTGTCATGGAGGAGGAATTAATTCAGCATTAAAATCAAGGAATGCCGATGCCTAGATGGCCTTACTTGCTGCTGTTACAACCAATTTGTTGATGTGCTTTATCCTAACCTGATCACTGTTTTTCATTCTATCTCCCAAGGCCACTACATTCACACTCAAACCATCGTGGCTCACATCATTGTTCTCCCCAAAGACGGTAACCACATAAAGCAGTGTAACATTTATAGGCCCATCTTCCTCCTCAAATGAGATATAACATATTTGCAAAGATCCTCACTACTAGATTACACTCCAATGTTCTCACCCTTATACACCCAGACCTAGTGGAGATTTTTCCCCAAAGACAAGTCAGGGACAACAATATTCAGGCCTTATCTCTAATCCGTTAAGCGTAACGTAGATCGGAAAGCCTTCCTCTGCTTTCTCAGACACGGAGGCTTTCATTAGGGTGAGTCAAGACTTTCTATTTCACACACTTCAGGCCATAGCCCTGGGACCGCACACATACACTTGGATATATTTTGTTTACGCTACCCCAAATGCCGGGGTTTATATCAATGGCACTTTCACACATTAATTCCTAATCAATAATGGTAATAGGGCGTGATATGCCTTATTACTCTGTTCTTTGTCATTACCCTCGAACCTTTCTTCAATCAGTTAGGCCGAACCTTGAGATCAGGATGATCTGTTTTATGTAATATTTCAAGAAACCTTGTTACCCGATATTATGGAGGAGTTTCAATAGTATGGTACACCCTCAAAATCAACTTCACCATGCTAAATATCAGCATCTCTAAATGGAGCGTTGACTGAATCTGCCAGAGTTTTCCCTTCAATGGTCAGACATGCCATTAAAATACCTGGGGATTTGGCTTACTGGGGATCTATCCAAACTTCATTAAGCTAGCTCTACGCTTCCCTCATTTTGCAATAATTTAGCAGGATGGACACAAACCACATATCTGTCACGGTCCACGCCGTGACATCCAGTCTGCCAGACGTGGTCGCTCTGGAAGCGCCCGATAGGGGATTTGAACTTTGGTTCTTCTGGACCATATCCTGCTGTTCTTCCTCTGAGCCATTTCAGGACTTTGGATAACTCCCTGTTTATTCTTGTATTGCCTGCAGCACCAGGGGGCTGGACTTCACCAAAGGCTCTGATCTGTCAGTAACTCTCCAGCTGAATCTGATCCTAATTAACAGGATTTAAAAGCCTGCCTCACCCTGGGAGGGGTGTCAGTTCATTGACTCTGGTTCTCTTGTTTGGTTCCTGTTACTCCGTACCTGCGTTCCAGTGATTCTTGTCTTTCCGGCTTCTGACCTTGGCTTTCCTCCTGGACTACTCTGACCTCTGGCTTCCCTGATTTTGGCTTCCCTTGACCACGCTTCTGCTTATCCCTGCTGTACTGAGTCTTGGAGCACCTTTCCTGGAAAGCCCCCGTGCACAGACTCACAGGCCAGGTGGCGTCTTACCTGGTCACCCTGGTCTGTGTCTACTTTGCAAGGGTGAGCGTATAACTCTGCGAGCTGGACTCCCTATCAGGTAAGACTCCGTTACAGATGAACTGACCAATGGAGTCCGCAGAGTTATACAAGTTACTCACCTCCCTGGCCGAGCAAGTCTCCAACCTGTCCCAGAATGTTACAGAATTGCAGAGACATTCATTGGCATTGAAAGGAGCAACGCTTGCAGTCCCGGAACATGTATGCCCAGAACCGTATGTCTTTATGCCTGACAGGTTCGACGGTTCCCGTTCTGCTTTTCCGATGTTCAAGACGGATTGTGAGCTACTATTTGCCCTGAAATCGAGAACCTACGCCACCGACTTTATCAAAGTACGCTCCGCTATTAACCTATGTACCGGGCGAATTAAGGCGTGGGCACACCAGAAGTTGCAGGAGAGAAGTACTGTCTTGGACTCCTGGGAGTTGTTTATGTCCGCAATGGATTCTCAGTGTTTTGCAGCAAGAAAAGCAACTTCCAAACCCATTTCAGGTCCTCGCAGAACCCGGTTGCCTAGAGAAGAGGAATTATTTTATGGATACAAAAATCCCATTTTGTTACAGCATGAACCCACTTTCAGGGACCCGCCTTGTAATCCTGTTTACACTCGAGCTAGCAGTGAAACTCCAGTCGACATGGAGGAACCCATGGAGATTGGCTTCACCAGAACTAGATTGCCCCCGAAGGAAAAAGACCGCAGGAGAGCCCATGGTCTATGTCTATACTGTGGGAAAAGAGGGCATTTCATATCGCTCTGCCCGACTCGTCCACTTAGGACAAGACCCCTTCTGTCTGGTGCCATATGGACTTACCCTGTCATCCCAGCAAGACAGCCTGGACACTGCCAGAACTGTCCCCGTCCTGTGACACAAAAGGGTACCCAAACCAATACCGTTAATGTTACCAGTACCTCTGTGGAAACTTCACCTCTTGCTCTAGAAAAATTTGGACCTCTTCCTGATAACACTTCTGTTCAAGCAAGCACCATCACCACTTCCTGCCTTGCCAAAACAGTTCTGCCTCCTGACTGCACCTATGCCTCAAATGGCACAGTTGTGTGTAAACAAGATCTAGAAATATTCGAAAAAGCTTTGAAAGCTGCAAATGCCTCCCCTATAGCACCCGAAACTGGTACCATAAAGTCCCAGTCTGTAGACTTTGATTACAAAGACTATCTTAGTGATACTGATACCGAAGATGAAGAGTACCATTTCCAGGAAGAGCCTGTTCACGCCCGGAGGGCGTTCTTGACGGGGGGGTACTGTCACGGTCCACGCCGTGACATCCAGTCTGCCAGACGTGGTCGCTCTGGAAGCGCCCGATAGGGGATTTGAACTGTGGTTCTTCTGGACCATATCCTGCTGTTCTTCCTCTGAGCCATTTCAGGACTTTGGATAACTCCCTGTT